TGCCTTCCATTCCATCACCAGTCATTCATCACCACTTTCAGGCTCTTTGATCTATTTCCTCCAATATAATGTTATTCCCTTTGTAATTCTGACCTTCCTCGAACTCTGAATATTTACTGCATTAGAATCTATTGGCTGTGGCAGCAGCCTGCCTTGGGAGCAGGCAGCAATGGAGAAGGACTGGAAAAGAGTCATTGAACCGACTAAAAGTGGCCTTTTTAGTATCACGATGTGCCAGTGATTCTAAACACTGTCGGTGATAAAATATGACTCCTGCCAGGAAGACTCCTTCCTTAACACCCACTCCTTGGATGGAGGAACTAACGGTATTCATAGAACACTTTGAAACTCAACCAGAACAGAAGCATTTAGTGGTAAAGGGGCATTATGTCTGCAACTGGCCATAGGAATCTTTGTACTATTCTTTCAACTTTCCTGTAGGCCCAAAATTATGCTAATATAAAAAAATTAAAAAGATCAGGGCTGGGCGTGGTGGCTTATGCCTGTAATCTCAGCACTTTGGCAGGCCGAGGTGGGTGGCTCACCCGAGGTCAGGAGTTCAAGATCAGCTTGACCAATACAGTGAAACCACCTCTCAACTAAAAATACAAAATTAGCTGGTGTGGTGGTGCATGCTGGTAATCCTAGCTGCATGGGAGATTGAAGCAGGAGAATCGCTTGAACCTGGGAGGTGGAGCTTGCAGTGAGCCGAGATTGCACCGTTGCACTCCAGCCTGGGCAACAAGAGTGAAACTCCATTTCAGGAGAAAAAAAAAAAAAGGAGTTAAAAGGAAAAACAAAGCTACTGAATCAAACACAGCAAACTGCTTCGGACCAGCCAGTTGCTGAGTGCTGATGCCGGTCACCTGTTACCGGGGGAGAAGTTTTTGTTCTGAAACCTCCCTTTGATCATGAGTGTGAGTATTTATCTTATTTTATTTTTATTTTTATTTATTTATTTATTTTTTGAGACAGAGTTTCGCTCTTGTTACCCAGGCTGGAGTGCAACGGCGCGATCTCGGCTCACCGCAACCTCCGCCTCCTGGGTTCAGGCGATTCTCCTGCCTCAGCCTCCTGAGTAGCTGGGATTACAGGCACGTGCCACCATGCCCAGCTAATTTTTTGTATTCTTAGTAGAGACGGGGGTTTCACCATGTTGACCAGGATGGTCTCGATCTCTTGACCTCGTGATCCACCCGTCTCGGACTCCCAAAGTGCTGGAATTACAGGTTTGAGCCACCGCGCCCGGCTCGAGTGTGAGTATTTATCAATGGGAAGACTCAAGAGGAGCTTCTGTAACACCCAAATGTGGTTTGTTAGCTGGGAAGGCTGGAGGACTTGAGAGTGGCCTTGATTGCTTGGAAGAGTAGGTGGCAGGAGCACCCTGGAGGCAGACAGTAAGAGCTGGCCCCAGTCCAAGGTGGCATAAGGGACACACAGGCCCTAGACACGAGAGACTCAGGCTTTTCCTGGCTTTCTTACTGTGTGACCTGAACTTGTCCTCCCTTTGGCCACAATCAGAGGTTGGGGCCTGATACGCAGGCCGAGCCCCTGGGAGGAGGTGGCGGGCTTCTTATGCCCAGCTCCCTGCCTGAAACCCTTGGGCTAGCTGTCTCTGGGAGAGGTCAGGTACAGGTCTCACAGCCCTCAAGGGGCAATGGGCAGGACACACAGTCCCCGGTGGCCCCCTCCAGGAGCAGGAGAGGCAGGGGCGACACTCGCCGGAGGTCTTCTCTGCTGCTGGTCCCTGCCAGGCTGCAGGGCTCGGGCTGCCTGCAAAGTGGCCAGGCTCCCGGCAAGCCCTGAGTGCTCCTTTCCACCGGGGCTTAGCTCTCCTGCCCAGGGTGCTAGGGATCTTGACCTTCCAAACCCTGAGGGCACAGCTCCCACCCCAGTCTTGCCTCCCAGCAGCTTTCAGGTATCTTCCAGAGAATTCCAGGCTTTTCAATCCTACACTGTGTGCCACATTATTTCTCTTAATCCTTATGGCATCCCTGAGGGACAGGGGCTATAATTGTGTTTTACAGGCAAGGAAGCTGAGGCCTGAAGCGCAAAGTGGCTTATCTAAGGCTACACTGGCAGAATGTGGATTCTCACTCTGGCCTCTCGGCCTCCAAAGCCTGGACTCAGCGTGTTCCCTGCCTCGCTTTACCATCTCTCCCACCAGTTTCTGCGAGCAGAGCCAGGACTGGCGGCTCAGGGAGTGTGGGTGGACACCCTCACACAGGCCATGTGGCTCCCTGAGCTGCAATCCCACCCCCAAGATGGGAGCCTCACCACCTGAGGGCCCAGACCTTCCCCCTCTCTCCCGGCCATGACCCGGCTGGGACTGCGCAGAGCAGAGCTGGATGGGGAGAAGGGCCCAGGTGGGTATAGCAACTCTGCCTTGCTTCGGATATTTGCTGTTCCTGGCTCTCCTTGTGTGCCCTATGAAGCCCAAGTAACAAGGTGTTCTGGGTGGTCCCCATTGCCCGGGCTGCAGAGCACTGCCTCCCTCCTGCCCCAACCTCACCTCATCCTCCCTGCCTCCCCTCTGTAGGCAGTAAAGTGGGGTGGGGTTGGGGCATTTCTGGGGGACCCATGGGCTTGCCCGGAGCTGCTGGTCAGCCCAAAACTGAGAAGGTTCTGGTTTAAGCCCGGCCTGGGGCAGCAGCCTCTTGTGGCTCTCGGGAAGTCCCAGGGTGAGGAGGAGATATGGAGCCACTCACATGCTCTGGTCCCATTAGCCCTGCACATCGGGGGACCCGGGAGGAATCTCAGCAGCTCCTGGAGGCCCTGGTGGCCCTCCCTGGTGCATTTGCTGTTATACAGAGTTGAGTCCTTGGCCCCCTAGTCTAGGCAGATGCCCACCAGCCAAGCTCGGGAGATGAATGTGTGCACCCGGAAAACCTGGGGACACCACCTCCGGATGGAGCAGGAGGCAGCAGGATGTTACATGGTTGTGATGGGACACTGTGGTGGTGGCCTTGAGCTCAGGCCCAGAGGCCAGGGCCCCCAGGGCTCTCTGCCAGTGCAGAAGTGGGGGCCACAGCCGTTGTGACCACTGAGCCACTCCTTTTTTGCGGCTGCTCTTTAGTCTTTGATGGCAGCTACTGCAGTGTGGAAGATGCAGCCGCTGTAGGAATTCCTGACCGACAGGGGAGCCATTCTGCCTCTGTAAGGCTGGGTGGGTCCTTCCCCATCCCCTCCAGGGCTGTGTGCACCAAAAGTCCACAGGGACTTTCGGGCTGCTTAGAGTGTGTGCAGAGTGGTATGTGTGTGCGCGCACGTGTGTGGTGGTGTGCACACGGTGATGTGTGCATGCGTGTGTGTGCATGTGTGTGTGCGCGTGTGTGTGTGTGTGTGTTCCAGTGAAGGGCTGGGTCTACATGCTCGTCACTTGCTAAGAGCAGCCTATGACGCCCCAGTGGGCTCCGTTGCTGAGTGGTATCATCCCTCCTTGGCCGCCTGCTGTGGTGGCAGCCCCGTGACTGAGGATTTCTCCTGGACTAGCTCATTGGGGGCTGAGCAGTTGATTCTCAGGGCACCCCAGAATCACTTCTAGCAAGGCCCTGGGGACCATGTGCCCCTGTACTTCCCACAACTGTTCCCTGCCTGAGACTCTGTTTACATGTGGAGTTCCTGGGAAGGCCGCCCTGCTGCAGGCTCCTTGAGGGCCTAACTCCCATCCCCAAGCCCAGACAGTGACTCATGGAGTGGGGCGGGAGCGGGGAGGAGAGGGTGCAGGAAAGCTGGGGGAAGAAGGCGCCTCCAGTTGCCACTAGATGGTGATGATCCCACCCCACATTTCTTGAGTGCTGGCCATGTGCCAGCCCTGGTGCTGAATCTTGGCACTCAGTATCTCATGCCACGCTCACAATAGTGGCCATGGTGGTTAGCCCATTCTACAGGAAGGGGAACTGAGGCACAGAGCTTCTCAGCTCACAGCAGCCTCTTGGGGTCCTGGGGCTTTGTAACCTCTCCTGATGCTCCTCAAAGCGTGATTCAGGGGCCTGGAGCTCTCCAGAGGGCGTTTGTCAAATATGAGGATTTTTAGACTAAGGAGACCAAACTCTGGGCAAAGGTCCTGGAACCAGCCTGCGGGATCAATCATTTCTAGGGTCCCTAGAAGTTCCAGCGAGGAGCTGATTGCAGGACGGGAGAGTGGGGACAGGTGAGGCACTGGGGTTTGCATGTGGGCAGTGTGGGGGAGCAGAAGGAGCTGTGTCTGGGCATTCTTAGCTCTTCTCTAGATTCTCTCCATCCTGTCTATACTCCCACCCTTGGTATAGTAATGGGGGCAGAAGAAGATTTGAACGGATATGGGGGACGGTATTTGGGGCTGAGGACCATGGTGAGGACAGGGAAGCCCAGGGAGACAGGTGAGGAGGCGGGGGTCCACCACCAGGCTGGACTTTGGTGTGCTTTTTCAGAAGGCAGTGGGGGGCCCCAAGGAAGGGTTTCCAGCAGAGGGGTGACGGTCTTTGGTGGCTGCGGGAGGATGGACTGCAGGGAGAATGGGGGCTCCTGCGGGTCCTGCAGGGCGGAGCAACTGGACTCAGGGACTGGCAGCCCCAAAGGGAGCGGCGGGTGGGAGGGGCCGCGGAGGCCGCCATCCCGGCCCTTGGAGCCTGGGGGTATGAACCCCACCGGGGCATGTCGACTTCAACGGACCTTGGAGTGGGTTTGAATGTGGGGCAGGAGGAGCTGAGGGTCGCAGGGACACCGTGCGACCTCAGCACGCCGGAGGGCGGGGACCGCGCGCGAGCCCCAGGTCTCTCGGGCTCCTCCGCCGCGATCTGAGGCTGTTTTCTCATCTGTAAAATGGGTCGTTGCGAGGGTTCCGTGAGGTAACGCTGCTTGTGGAGGCGTCGCGTCCGACAGCCGCATCCTTCGCGGGTGCGGGAGGGGGCGCCGCGCTGGCTGCGGGGACGGCACTGCCCCCTGGCGGCGTTCCCGGGCGGACAGGCGGGGCGTCGGGGCGCGGGCTGGGGCTGCCGTCAGTCAGCCCATCGGCTCCCGCGTGGCGTGTCTGTCTGTCGCTCGGAGGGTGGACGCCGGGGTCTCGCAGGCCACATGGTAGGTGCGTGGGCGCCCGCGTGGGCGAAGGGCCTGCGGCTGGGCCGGGGCTCCGCGCTGGCAGGGTGGTCCCAGGGCGGGAGGGGTCCCAGGGCTCCGTCGGGGCGCCCCCCGCCCCTCCCAACCAGGGAGCCTTGCAGCCTCTCGGGTCCTTTGTGTCTTCCGGGCAGGGGCGCCGCGGGCTTGCGACCCTTATTCGAGGACTAGGTCGCCTTCCTTGAACCGGGGCTGGCGCCTGCTAATTCCCAGTTGGTCCCCGAGACTCCCGCGCTACGGTGCAGCGGGGGTGAGGGCGGGCGGGAAAAACGGCGGGGGACTGGACAGAAGAGAGGGAACCCCAGAGTTGGTAGTGCCAAGGGCATCAAATACGGAGACTTTGAACAGTTTGGGTGACAGAAAACAGAAAAAAAGAATCAACTTGTAGATCAGGCATTTGTAGTGTTTAGCCTTGACACTTCTTCACTGGACCCTCATCGTGACGAGGTCTCCAGAGCAAAGGGGTGATCCCCGTGCCTTTCCGTATGCCAGTCAAGCCCTGTGTTCATGCCTTTCATGGATTAAACTCCCTGGATCCTCCTAATAAGGAAACAGCCTCAGAGAGGCTACCGTGCTAAAGGTCACACAGCCTGGAACTGGGGAGGCTGGATTCGAATTCAGGCAGTTGCTTCCAGAGCCCTTGCTCTTGACCCTGTGATACCAGGCGTTGTGCTCATTTTACAGATGCCCAAACAAGTGCCTCATCTGGCATCATTGCTTGAAAGGGGAGACACCCAAGATCTGCCGTTTATTCAAAGGTTCCAATAGATCATGAAATTTAAAATCAAAGCTTCATGTGTTATCATTTTTTTAAAAATGTATATTTTTACTTTTTTATTTTTTTGAGACAGGGTTTTGCTCTGCTGCCCAGGCTGGAGCCCAGTGGCATGATCTTGGCTCATTGCAACCTCTGTCTCCTGGGTTCAAATGATTCTCCCACTTCAGCATCCCAAGTAGCTGGAATTACAGGTGTGTGCTATCATGCCTGGCTAATGTTTTGTATTGTTAGTAGAAATGAGGGTTCACCATGTTGGCCAGGCTGGTCTCGAACTCCTGACCTCAAGTGATCTGCCCGCCTCAGCTTCCCAAAGTGTTGGGATTACCGTGAGCCACTGCACCCAGCCGAATTTTTCATCTCTGACCTGTGGATGTAAGAGTTTTGTTTTCTTTCTCAGTGGTGCCTAAAATAATGGTCATTTTAGCGCTAATGTCACCTTTGGCTGGATGAGTTAGGACAGAGTCAGCATTCCCTGAATGGCCGGGTGCAGTGGCTTATGCCTATAATCCTAGCACTTTGGGAGGCCGAGGTGGGTGGATCACCTGAGGTCAGGAGTTCAAGACAAGCCTGGCCATCATGGTGAAACCCCATCTTTGTAAAATAAATAAATAATAAAAGTGTTATTGTTTAAAAAAAATCGCTTCTCGGCCTTTTGACTAAGATCAAGTGTAGCATTCCCTGAATGATCTTTCTGGGCATCTCTCCTCTGTTCCAGATGACTCTGTGCCTCAATTGCTCTGTCCTTCCTGGAGATCTGTCCCCAGGGGGTGCAAGGAGCCCCATGGTTTGCAATGGCAGTGCAGCCAGGGGGTACTTTGACCCTGAGGACTTGAACCTGACTGACGAGGCACTGAGATTCAAGTACCTGGGGCCCCAGCAGACAGAGCTGTTTGTGCCCATCTGTGCCACGTACCTGCTGATCTTCATGGTGGGTGCTGTGGGTAACGGGCTGACCTGCCTGGTCATCCTGCGCCACAAGGCCATGCACACGCCCACCAACTACTACCTCTTCAGCCTGGCCGTGTCGGACCTGCTGGTGCTGCTGGTGGGACTGCCCCTGGAGCTCTATGAGATGTGGCACAACTACCCCTACCTGCTGGGCATTGGCGGCTGCTATTTCCGAACGCTGCTGTTTGAGATGGTCTGCCTGGCTTCAGTGCTCAACGTCACTGCCCTAAGTGTGGAACGCTATGTGGCTGTGGTACACCCGCTCAAGGCTAGGTCCATGGTGACGCGGGCCCACGTGCGCCGAGTGCTTGGGGCCATCTGGGGTCTCGCGATGCTCTGCTCCCTGCCCAACACCAGCCTGCATGGCATCCGGCAGCTGCACCTGCCCTGCCGGGGCCCGGTGCCTGACTCAACCATGTGCATGCTGGTCCGCCCACGGGCCCTCTACAGCCTGGTGGTGCAGACCACCGCGCTGCTGTTCTTCTGTCTGCCGATGGCCATCATCAGTGTGCTCTACTTGCTCATTGGGCTGCGGCTGTGGCGGGAGAGGCTGCTGCTCATGCAGGAGGCCCAGGGCAGGGGCTCCGAAGCTGCCAGGTCCAGAGACACCTGCAGGCTCCAGCAGCGAGATCGGGGCCGGAGACAAGTGACCAAGATGCTGTGTAAGTGTCATGGCTGGGAAGAGGGGCTGAGCCAGGCACTGGGTATGAGGCTGGGGCTCCTGGGGCCTGGGGAAGGGGTTGAGTATCTGGGTTTGTGGGAGACGAGGAACTTCCCTAGTCTCGTGTGTGTGTGTGTGTGTGTGTGTGTGTGTGTGTGTGTGCGTGCATGTGTCTGAGTTCACACTCCTGTGTACTCTTTTAGATTACCCTGTTAGACTCTTACACCTGTTAATGGCTAATGGTAAGACTGATTGTGTAATTTGTGGAGTTCACTGCAAAATGAAAATTCAGGGTCGCTTTTTCAAAAGTGAATAAGAATGTTAAGATAACAATAGAGCATTAAACCAAGCCCAGGACCCTGCTAAGCCTGGGGCCCTGGCTCTAGAACCAAAACACAAGAAAGGGCAGGGGCATGTGGTGGGCTCCAGGAGACAGAAAACGGGATCTGGACCCTCCAGATTTTACCTCGGTTTTTTTTTTTTTTTTTGAGGCAGGGTCTTGCTCTGTTGCCCAGACTGGAGTACAGTGGTATGACCACGGCTCACTGAAGCCTCAAACCTCCTGGACTCAAGCTATCTTCCTACCTCACTCAGACTCCTAAGTAGCTAGAGCTACAGGTGCATGCCACCATGCCCAGCTAGTTTTTTCATTTTTGTAGAGACCGGGTCTCACTTTGTTGCCAGAGCAGGTCTTGAGCTCCTGGTCTCAAGTGATCCTCCCACCTCAGTCAGCCTCCCAGAGTGCTGGGATTACAGGCATAAGCCACTGCGCCTGGCTCTTCTTGGTTATTGCACGTCTTGGCCCTGTTCTTCCCTGCAGCAGCCTGTGAGGCATGGCCACGGGCACATTGTCTCCTTTCCTGAGGAACTGCCCTCTTCTCTTAGAGATGAGTGAAAAGTTCCAGGAAGAATTCTGTGGGGTGGGGCTTAGGTCATGGGCCACCTCCTGAGCCAGAGTGGCAGGATGCTGAGGTACACAACCCCCAGTGGAACCGCACAGTGGGATCTGGGGGAAGCAAAGTCCCCCAGAGAAGGGGAGGAGGGTGCTGGAGAGGCCAAGTGCGGAATTTCCCCCCATGCCATGTCTGCAGTTCCCTGGGAACCACCGGAGCGACCATTTGTCTAAAGAGCCCCATCGGGAGGTGTGTCTGTGAGGGCTAGGCTCAGGGCACAGGGCATCAGGCCGGAGACGTTCGGGTTGGGGCAGGCCAGGGTGCGCCCAGCTGGGATGAGGCTCCAGATCTTTGTGGCCTGGACCAGGCTTTTTTTCAAAAGCTGTGGCCCTGGGGAATCGAGACAAACTGATGCGAAGCCAATCACGGATCCGCCCCACCTACCTCCCTGCATCCCAGCTCAACCCCAACTCAGCAGAGCCTGAATCAGGCCAGTGGGGTGAGTTGGGTTGGGAGAGGGCCACCTAGACTTTGGACAGAGCCAGCTAACTGAGGGCTGCCCCATCCCCAGAGTGAGTCACTCCTCTCGCCCCTCAGGCACCATCCCAGAGCCCAGAGTCTCTTGTGCAGCCTGAGATGGGACTGAGCCCAGAGCTGTGTTTCTGCCTCCCAGCTCTGCACTGTGAAGCTTGTGCTCGTAACCAGCTGCCCCCGTCGCCCTGCCTTCTGCCCTACTATCCCATCCCCTCCCTGAAAACACAGGTGGGCAGTCTGCAGTAGGTGCTCAGCTGGGATGGCTCAATCCTGGAAGGTGGGCTTCCTGCTTGCTGGCCTTCTCTCTTCCCTCCCTCCCCCCTGTCCTCCCTTATCCACTTTCCAAGGACCCTCTGTGCACCAGGCCAGGTGCTGGGGATGTTGTGAGCAATGTCCTTTATGAAATCTGGGATTATGAGAAAACCATGCTAGGGTATGATGGGGAAGCCGCTGCCTGGCAAAGCTAGGAAGTTGCAGCAGCAAACCCAAGAAACAAGAAACAAAAATCATAGCTGGCCCAGTGGCGGAGACCCAAGGAAGGGCATGGATGGGTAAGACGCAGGCAGGAGGGATTTGGGGAGAAAGAGTGAAGCTTTGGCCAAACTGTCCTACCTTTTGCTAGGGAGGGGGTGGGCAAGGCCCTGGCAGATAGTGGGGGGCAGGTTAGTGCAGGGCAAGATATTCAGATGGGACTTGGGGAGCTGGGGGCTGGAGCTGAAAAGGCCAGGGGCCAAGGCAGGCAGTGTGTGGATGTGTACGTGTGTCTGTGTGTGTGCATGTATGCGTGTGTGTGTCTCACTCTCCCTGGCCCCATCATCTCCTGTCTGCTGCTTTCTGAGCATGCGCCCCTTTCTTCTTCTGTGTACGTATGCATCAGCAAGCATGGCCCCCCAGGGGGCATCTAGAGTGGCCCTAGCCCCACAGCCTGTTTCACCCCAGTAGTTCAGCAGCCACAGCTAAGTGTCACCCAATTCCAAACTCCAGAGTGACAGAATCTGACTGGGCCAGCTGGGCACGGGTGTCCATGCCTGGTCCAATCAGCTGTGGCCAGAGGCAGGGACTTGCCCCACTGCCCACAGTCAGTGACAGTGGTGAGGGCAGCCTCTTTGAGAAAGGCATGGCCGGAACAGGCATTTCTAGAAACTTACCTGGGCGATGGGTGAGGGTGGCCTGTGGGGTGGGAGATGAAGTGAGAATGGGTAGCCCAAACTGAAGCCCGGGAAGGCAGCTGAGGGGGCTCCAGCAGGCACTCAGCCTCCCTTCTCTGTCCCTGCAGTTGTCCTGGTCGTGGTATTCGGCATCTGCTGGGCCCCGTTCCATGCAGACCGCGTCATGTGGAGCCTCGTGTCACAGTGGACAGGGGGCCTGAAGTTGGCCTTCCAGTACCTGCACGTCATCTCCGGTGTCTTCTTCTACCTCGGCTCGGCAGCCAACCCGGTGCTCTACAGCCTCATGTCCAGCCGCTTCCGAGAGACCTTCCAGGAGACCCTGTGCCTCAGAGCCCGCTGCCACCGCCTGAGACCTCACCACAGCTCCTACAGCCTCAGCAGGGTGACCACAGGCAGCACCCTGTGTGACGTGTGCACCCCAGGCAGCAGGATCCACCCCCTGGCTGGGAACGATGGCCCAGAGAGGCAGCAAGAGACTGACCCGCTGTGAGTGGAGCCTCAAAGTGGCTTCACCTGGAGGGGCCGGAGGGCCACGTGGAACTGCGTGGAACTGGGGAGACACACCTGCCTTCCTCTGCAGGGATACCTTCACCTGCTGTCTCCTGTTCAGCCTAGAGATTCTGACTGGCATGTCAGTTTCCCTCAGAGGGAAACAGCAGGAGGAAGGACTGATCTCTGATTGCTGAGGACTCATACTGGCCAGGCGCCACACCGTGTGCTTCTTTTTTTTTTTTTTGAGACCGAGTTTCGCTCTTGTTACCCAGGCTGGAGTGCAATGGCGCGATCTCGGCTCACTGCAACCTCCGCCTCCTGGGTTCAGGCAATTCTCCTGCCTCAGCCTCCTGAGTAGCTGGGATTACAGGCACGTGCCACCATGCCCAGCTAATTTTTTTGTATTTTTAGTAGAGACGGGGTTTTACCATGTTGACCAGGATGGTCTCGATCTCTCGACCTCGTGATCCACCCGCCTCGGCCTCCCAAAGTGCTGGGATTACAGGCTTGAGCCACCGCGCCCGGCCTACCGTGTGCTTCTTATCCCTCACTGCCACTTCCCCAGTTCAAGTCCTTCCCCTGCAGAAACACCATGATTAGCTGGGGCTCAGCAGTCCTCCCTCTGGGGATTCCCGCCACCACTGCCAGTTTCTGAAACGGTCCCACTGGGCCCTCCTGTCCTTCCCAGGTCCTGTTCAGGTTCTGGCAGGGGCCCAGGGATCCAGGAGACCTGGTTCCAATCTCCGCCCTGCTGTCACCATCTTGTCACGTAGCATCAAGCATATCAGTCCATCTTTCTAGGCCTCAGTTCCTTGCTTGAAAAATGAAAGAGGCATTGGCTTTCCACAGTGTCACACTTAGACACTTTAGCTGTGGTTTTCTTTCTGTGTTAAGTTACTGCTTGTAATGAAACGAACAATACTTTCAGACTGACAGGGCGGAAATTATTTTCTGTATTTTTATCAGCCCCAAGCTCTACTTCCTCCCTGACCTCCACATGCATCCCCAGCCCCTCCCAGCACAAGTGCGGCAGAGCCAGCAAGGAAGCAACCCCACCCCCACCACAGCCCACCTATGTGCAGGCTGGCTCGAGGGCCCAGTGAGCAGAGCACTGGACTTGGCTCGCCAGAGGGTCTCTGAGGCCAAGAGACACGGTAAACCAAGGGCAAGGAGTGATGCTGTGGAGGGCTCTGCTGAACTCAATGCAGTGAGAAGAGGGACAGGGACAAGTCATCCTTGAAACCGAGACCCATTCTGAGTCCCTGCGAGCCAAGTCAGTGCTCAGCCAGGACTTAATTCATGGATGAAACTTGTCCTGCTGCCAGTCACTGGGTCTTGTCCTCCTGAGAGGAAGTCCTGGCTTCCATGGCTGGGAGCAGCAGGATGGCCTGGGGTCGGTCTGTCCAGGGTTCTCTCTGCAGACAGCTTCCTAGCTTGTGCCCCTAGCTCATCCTCCCTGGCGAGAAAGTGGAGGATGTGGTACAGGGTTGCAGATAATGTTTAGTTAAAAAAATTCAATTATAAAAATATTAAACACTCATCACAGAAAATTTGGAAAGTACAAATAAGCAAAAATGAAAATAAGTTTTAAACATGTAAAACCTCAGGCCAGGCATGGTGGCTCACGCTTGTAATCTCAGCACTTTGGGAGACCAAGGCGGGTGGATCACCTGAGCTCGGGAGTTTGAGACCAGCCTGGCCAACATGGTGAAACCCTATCTCTACTAAAAAATAGAAAAATTAGCAGAGTGTGGTGGCAGGTGCCTGTAATCCCAGTCACTCGGGAGGCTGAGGCAGGAGAATTGCTTGAATCCAGGAGGCAGAGGTGGCAGTGAGCTGAGATCGCGCCACTGCACTCCAGCCTGGGCAATAGAGTGAGACTCCTCCTCAAAAACAAACAAACAAACAAAAAATATAAAACTTCCCTTGCCAGGGGCTGGGGAAAGGAAAGGTGAGGAGTTGTTTAATTCATACAGAGTTCCAATTTGCAAAATGAAAAAGCTCTGGAGATCAGTTGTACAATAATGTAAATATACTTAACGATACTGAACTGGTTAAGATGGTATATTTTATGTGTATTTTACTGATTTTTTTTTAAAGAAGATTAAATCCAAAGGAAAGAAAAAATGAAAACTACCCATAGCTTTATTCTGAGGCAGCAGCAGTGGCGTGCTTTCTCCTAGTGATATTTCACACGGTTATTTTATTTTATATAAACAATACGCATACACAATTTTGTATCTGGCCTTTTGCCCAGTGGATGTTCTATCCAAGCTCACGCCTGCATTCATCTGACTCATGGGCTCCACCGTGATGGGCCTTGGCCAGCCCTGGGGAGTGGGACTTAGCACATACCGTCTGGGTGAATTTCTCCATGCCGCCCAGGAAGGCCCGGGTGCCTCTGCCTCCTCAGTCCCTGGCTCGGGGAAGGAAGAGCCTCCTGTCTGTCAGTACTGCCCAGTGGACAAGTTCTGGAAGAAGCACAGGGGCTCCCGGACAGAGAGAACAGGGGCTGGGGGTGGGGAGGGGGGGACACTGAGGACAACGGGAGAAGTGGGGGCCTCGTGGAGGCCAGATTGTGGATGAGGCAGCTGAGGGGAGGCTGGCTTGGGGAGAGGGTTTCCTCGGGGGGGGGTCCTGAGCCTGCCTTGACTGAACACACACAGTAAAGCCCTGAGAGGGGCCAGCGGAGACAGCTCCTAAGCTGTGGGAGAGCATTCAGACTGCTGGAGAGCGATATACGTGAATCTTTATTGCAAACTTTGGGGTTTTGTTGTTGCTTTTTGAGACAAGATCTTGCTCTCACTCAGGCTGGAGTGCGGTGGTGCCATCAGGGCTCACTGCAGCCTTGACCTCCCAGGCTCAAGCGATCCTCCCGCCTCAGTCTCTTGAGTGGCTGGGACCTCAGGCATGCCCTGGTTAATTTTTGAGTTTTTTTGTTTTTGATTTTGTTTTTTTGAGATGGAGTCTCACTCTGTCGCCAGGCTGGAGTGCCTTGGCACAATCTCAGCTCCCTGCAACCTCTGCCTCCCAGGTTCAAGTGATTCTCCCGCCTCAGCCTCGCAAGTAGCTGGAACTACAGGTGTGCACCACCACACCCAGCTGATTTTTGTATTTTTAATAGAGACAAGGTTTCACCATGGTGGCCAGGATAGTCTCGATCTCCTGACCTCATGATCCACCTTCATTGGCCTCCCAAAGTGCTAGGATTACAGGAGCAAGCTGCCACACCTGGCCAATTTTTTGGGTTTTGGAGTGGGGAGCTGCTATTGTTTTTGTAGAGATGGAGTTTTGGCATGTTGCCCAGGCTAGTATTGAACTCCTGGGGTGAAGCTATCTTCCTGCTTGAAGCCAGAGACCAGGCTGGGCAACACAGCGAGATCTTATTTCTACCAAAAAAAAAAAAAAAAAAATTAGCTGGGTGCTGTGGTAGTGTGTGCCAGTAGTCCCAGCTACACAGGAGGCTGAGACAGGAGGATCACTTGAGCCCACCAGGAGTTTGAGACTACAGTGATCCCACCACTGCGCTCCAACCTGGGTGACAGAGCGAGATCTCATCTGTAAAAAACAAAAATAAAAAGGCTCTTTAAATTGTTGGTTTGTTTTGAATTAGGATTTTAAAATGTCTACACATTACATTTAGTTTGTTCAGATTCTTTCTTGCGTCTCTGTATGACACTTCTCCCCAGCTACGCGGCAAGACGCCTCTAGCATGAGGGTCTTACGACCTACTTCACACTAGGTAGGCCTGTGAATTCCTTTATGACCCTGCTTTATGGGAGAAAGGCAGGAGCACATCACAGAGACCTTGTTTCTGTGGGTTTTCTCAACTGCCAAGGGGCCATATTTTGGCACATTTATGGATTCTGCTTCTTGTGTCTTATCCTGTCCTTGTTACTGATTTTAATAAGAATACTTCTTGGCAGAATGCGGTGATTCAATTTGCTAATACTTGGTTTGAACCTTGCATCTGTTCACAAATGAAATAGGCTTTTGCCTTTTCTTTAATTGTTCTTGATCAGTTTTCTTAAACTATTTGGGCTAACCTCATAAAGTAAGCTAGGCAAAAGAGTTTAGCGAAGTACTGTATCTAAAACAGGCAGGCAGATTTTTCTTTATACTCTCATTCCGTCCTAATTTGGGTCTCTCTGAAGCTAGGATAAGGCTAGCACCCTTTACTCAAGATCACCCTTCCCTGAATAGTTCCCAAACACACACAGTATCCCCAAATTGTCACTCTTCAAGTCCCAACGTGGGACTAACTCCTAGGAGCTTGATCCTCCTACTGGGACTACTGGTGTTAATCGTCATGGGGTCTTGTGAGAGCACATGTTCCTGACAGTCCAATGCAAAGAAACTAGGAGAGAGTATTAAGTGATTGCGCCTTAACTTATTTAAATGTATAATGAAAACCATTATTACCATCTAAGTCACACGTGTGTTTTGAGACGTCCATGATAAAACGTATGAAAAAGCAACCGGTACACTGCGTGGCACAAACACGCAGCGGGGCAGGTGGAGGGGGCGGCTACAGCAGCGACAGCCTTAACGGCGTGACCCTCAACTGTCGTCTCCGTGCCTCCTTCCCGGCTGGCAACGGCGAGGTCGCTAACACAGCCCTCACTGGGCGGGACGCTGCCTGGACGGTTTAAGGCCCAGAACGCTGGGAACACATCAGGGCACACGCGCCCTCAAGGACCGGTCGCTTTAACTACCCTATTCACTTTCCGACGGTCCCACCGCTAGAGGAGCGTCGGAGCGCGCGACCCGCTCATCAACTCCCCGAACTCTGGGGCGTTTCGGCCTTCTCGCCTACCAACCGGGCGCGAACACTTGGGACACCGCGCGCACCAGGACCAGCGGACCCAAAGCACAGCCCCCGGCGCCGGACAGCAGCAAAACGTCCGCGCCACTGGCCGGCGCAGCACGTGCAGCGCCTTCACCCCGACTCGAGACTCCGCCCCCAGGCTCCGTACCGCCGGGGCTCTGATTGGGCGAAGCGGAGTCACGAGGGCGCCGTCGCTCTACGTGTCGGTCTTCCCCGCGGTCCTTGGGTCTTGCGCAGTCGCTGTGAGGGCGCCCTCTTCGTGTCCGCGTGCGCGGCCTTACCCGGGCTCTCCCCGGGCGTCGTGCCTGCGGCCGTCACGCGCGGTGGCTCGCAGGCCACACCACCCAGGGCGTTGGCGGGCTTTGGGCGGGGGCCCTACACCTGCGACAGCGTTAAGGGAGAAC